CACAGGGCCGATGAGCTAGCCAGGAAAGGTACCAATCTCCCTCTATGAGAAAACAGAGGCACTATTGGGATACAAATGGCAATCTGCAAATTAGAACTTCAAAATAGCATGATCCAAGAGGCCAGCAGGTCATGGCTAGAGGAGGGCAGTTGTATAACAACCAGGCTACTTTGGCCACAAATAGATAAGAAAAAGACGAAAGAGTTGCCCAGGGGTTGCGAGGGTCGCGGCTTGTGTTACCGGTAATTGGGTATTTAGCAGCCACTCTTCGAGACTAGGAATATTCTCCCGTAGAAACCGTAGATCACTTCCTTTGTAGTCGCCCAGCTCTGGCCAAGACGAGAGCAAGCTTTTTAGGTAGGGTTAGTCACAGAGGTTCCCGTGTTTTGTAGTGGTACCACAATAGACCTTAAAAAGGTCTAAGTCTACCACATCGCTAAAAGTGTTCTTACACGATATGTATTTGCATCTGAAATGTGAATTTTTCAATACATATGTATGTAATTGCGTCTGTCTATCAAATTCATACTCTTTATTTAACTATTTACAAATACGTTCTTTGTTCAGAAACAAATCTAGTTTGCCTTTACACGATATGCTGGCATTTCCATATGCAAAAAGTGACATGTACACATGCAAATATATATCGTGTAAGAACACCTTATCCTACCCTAGTATTTTTGACTTAAAAATATAAAAGCAAAGATGTAAATTATGTACACCAGATGAAAAACAAATTTAATTATCTATATTCTGACACAGTGATGGGCGTAATCAAGAAAATGAATAATTGAATAAAAAAAATAAGAATAAGTTTTTATTCATCATTTCAACAATTTTGAATGACGAATAAATTTTTATTCTTCATTTAAGCACTTGCGAATGATGAATAAATTTTTATCAAAATATAAAAAATGAATAAATTTTTATTCATCATTCACGAACGAATAAATTTGTATTCTTCATTCAAGTACTGTATTTATTTAAATTATTATTCATAATTCAAGTAATTTCAAATAACGATAAATATTTATTCTTCATTCAAGCACTTTCGAATGATGAATAAATTTTTATTATAATTATAAAAATTTATTCATTTTTTATATTTTAATAAAAATTTATTCATCATTCGCAAATACATATCGTGTAAGAACACTTTTAGCTTGATGTGGTAGACTTAGACCTTTTTAAGGTCTATTGCGGTACCACTACAAAACACGGGAACCTCTGTGACTATTCTTCAGAGAACCATTTTGAAGCTCCTACGCAGGATAATTTCGAAAGAGAACTAAAGAAGGGCCTACCTAAAAAGCCTGCTCTCCTCTTGGCCAGAGCTGGGCGACTACATAGGAAGTGATCTACGGTTTCTACGGGAGAATATGCCTAGTCTCGAAGAGTGGCTGCTAAATACCCAATTACCGGTAACACAAGCCGCGACCCTCGCAACCCCTGAGCAACTCTTTCGTCTTCTACTTATCTATTTGTGGCCAAAGTAGCCTGGTTGTTATACAACTGCCCTCCTCTAGCCGTGACCTGTTGGCCTCTTGGATCATGCTATTTTGAAGTTCTAATTTGCAGATTGCCATGGGTATCCCAATAGTGCCT